CAACTTGATTTCTCGGTGGTCGAAGAGATGCTCTACGGTGTTCATTTCTTCTGATTTTGATTTCTCACTGGAGATATTTGTCCGATTTAGATCGCATCACATTCCAAGCAAGCATTTTATTTTATAGACACAATTAGATAGAGAATCTTTAGGGGTTCGGTCTTTTATATGGACAAGATTGCTTTGAAGTGTGTCTGATGTTTTGAAGAAAACTCTAATGTCGAGCTGATTGAGTACTCTTCTGATATCGTCTGACGTCTCTGCTCTACATGGAATGATGACTGTTGATGTCCATGTTTTCGGAATGCGTTTTCGGCCATACTTAATGTCTGTGTTGATTTTGTTGATGAAGTTCTTTGGGTAGTTATTTTGCTTGAGAGTTTCAGTAATGCTTGATATTTCTTCTTCTTTTTCTTGCTCATCCGTTATAAGAGAGTGTGCTCGTCTAAGAAGATTTGAATCAACTGAAATCTTTGCGCTGATGGGATGTGATGATTTGAAGTTTAAATATATATTGGAGTAGGTTTTTTTCCTGAATATCGATATACTACAATGTCTGTTTTAGTATATTCAATATGTCCTTTTAACTTGATCTAAGTCTATTTTCTCACCCCTTAACTCTTTTTTATTTATAAGCTGACATTTTGTAAATTCCGGTTTAATAATACTTTGTTAAAGCTATTAGCAGTAGCATTAAATAGCGAAACGTCAGTAAAAACAACAATAATATCGTTTTGTTTTTCATTCATTGGGAAATACAAAAGAACCTTTATTATAATGAATATCATATACCCATTGCCCAAATTTTTTCAAACCGTTAAAAGGGAACTTGGTTTGGACATATATAATAACAGGAAGTTTTTCCACTGTGACCAAGAATTGCTGATATCAGAAACAGAACCATTGAAAACCGCAATGGATAGCTGTTTCTGCCTTGCTTAGGACTTATAGGCAGTACCCACTAAACACCGGGGTTAAAAGCCGGGAACTTCTGGTTACAAGTTAAAACCTCACAGACCAATCAGACACTGGGACATGACTCATCAATGGCCAGCCCATAAATCCTAACTTCTATAAATTCGTGATTTTAACGTGACTGACAGCATCCGTTGCGAGTATTTATCCTCACTCCCAACTGACTTAGTGGACTCCATTGTTTGAAGCTTCTCACTAGTACTCCAGTCAACTTCCACCTGCAGCCAGTCACCAACGAGCATAGGATTTATTTTCAGGAGTTGATTTGTTTTCTAATTTTGACCACGGATTGTTACAAGTAAAAGAACCACTGAAAACCAGAGATTACTGGACAGTTGTTTCCTCTATCCTAGTTTTGGACTTATCGGCTGGTGATCGCGCTGAAATCACGAATTGCCAGAAGTAAGAATTCATGGGCTGGCCATTAATGAGTTGGGTCCCAGTGTCTGAATGGTCTACGAGATTGACTTGTAACCGCAAGATTCTGAGTTGGAACCGTGTAGATGACTGCGTACTGCTGATAAGTCCCACACGAGGACTGAGTAACCAGCTGTTCAGTAATCCCTGGTTTTCTGTGGTCCTCTAATTGATATGAATCCCTGATCAAACTTGAAAACAAATCGACTTTTGATAATGGGAAGTGATATCAACAGGGTGATTATCAAGTTTCTCTTGTCTTATTGAGGATATAGTGTTGTACACTGGTACAAATTTAGCCACATGAAAACGATTTTTTATAGTTCTATTTACTCTTTTATCGATTGTTTGGGTTACTTTTTCACCCATAGGGCGGGAAATGAATAGAAACTCAGTATTAGTGATTCAGTGGTGGGAGCTACTGGCGAAATTCGAATTTAGACACAGATGCACTAATTCTACGTAAACCATCGATTGCGCTAGAGTGCAAATTTACGTTCCTAGCTCAACTATGACCCTAATCTCTCCTTAAACTAACCTTAATCCATTCATAGAACAGCTTATATCCGAATGTACGTCTTACGTAATCTTAACCAGTTTCCAGCCTTAACCTGAATTAAATCTTTAATTTAATCAGTATTATTTACTCCGCATTTCTTTTCATGAACATGATGGTATTTCTCTGGTTCCACTGGCCCTCTGTGACTGAAAGTTCCAAGCAACTGGTACGTTAGCGCTTGGTTGGTTGTTTAAAGTTTGACTTTACTTAGTCATTTAAGTGTTGCTTTACAAGGACTAGATTGGTTTCAGAATTTCATAATGAACTCACATCGGTTAAAGGACTGTTAGAAAACCACCCGGGAGTACTGGACATCTGTATTCTACGTCCTAGCTCTAGATTCTTCAGCAGTACTCACCAAGTAAATTTCGAACTCAGGACCTTCCGGTTACAAGGGAAGCTCGTAGACCATTCAACCCCTAGGACTCGATCCAGTGGCCAGCCACTGAATTCTATCTTATGCCAATTCAATCTGGTGATCACTAGTGACTGACCGTATTCAGATAGGCGGTTACCTGTGGTTCTAGTATGAAGTCGTGACCAGTGGAGCAGAGCAGATTGGGAGTGAAGACAAACACTCGCCGACGACATTATCTAGTGGTCGCGTTACATCATAAATTGGCAGAATTTGGAATTCATGTACCGTTGGTTCGGATGCCGGTGGCTAAATAGTTTACGAGCTTGCCTTCTAACCAGAAGACCCTGGATTCCTGGATTCAGTGCCTAATTGGTGCGCAATGATGAAGAGTTCCGAAATAGGACGGAGGAAACAGCTGTTTAGTACTCCTCGACGTCAGTTCATGATGAATTCCTTTACCAGGTTAGTAATTTTTTTCTTAATTCAGGATAGACAAAGTTTAGATCTCTTATGCAAGGTTACTAACGATTCTGATTATTACTTCTGATGTAATTCCATATTAGTTTGATTATTAAATGTATCACACAGTGAAACAGTATTGTATACTGGATGACGTTTCGAACACAATTTATTGTTCATAATCATATCAATTTTTGTCACACGACTTCGAGATTTGATTTTTATAGTTTTCTCTGTCTTCTCCTATTTGTTGTATGGGCAGTAGAATTTTCCATATATCTGGGACAGGTGTTGAATCATTCCTATTACATGTATTTGCAGTTGATTCGATAAACAAAGCTTCTGTTATCAATCTCTCCCTATACCCTGTGACATTAGATTTTAAAACTGTCATCCTATCCCATCCTATTGTATGGTTGTGTGTAACTGCATGTAGTGCTATAGCTGAACTACTCTCTAGATTTCTTATCTTATTCGGGTCAACCAATCTAGATTTAGCTAGGTTTTTATGTTCGGCTAGTCTGACTGCCCCTGTTCTACTAGTTTGACCTATGTATTTGACCTCACAATCATTGCAGGCAGGGTATTAGATAAACTAAATTGTTTTGTTTTAATGGCTCTACAGGATCCTTTAACCGACAAAGCTTGTTTCTAATTGAGTTTGTGGGTTTGAATGCCACTTTTATTCCTGCCTTGTTAAGAATTCTGCGTAAGGCTTCCGAGGTTCCTTCTTTGTATGGAATTATTGTTGATGATTTACATTCCTTATTGTTGGTGTCGTTATTAATATTATTATTATCACTATTATTATTACCATTATTATTATTATTATTATCATTATTATTATCACTATCTCTGTTATCATTATTTATTTTATTTTTACATTTACTTACATATTTCTTGACTAATTTATCCGGGTAATTATTAAGTTTCAAGGCTTCTTTTATGTGTGTCACTTCCTGTCTTAGATTTTCCTTGGTACTACTTAGTTTTTGTGCTCTGTCATTTAAACATTTCACTAATCCTATTTTTACTGACATAGGATGGGATGATCGGAAATCCAAATATCTGTTTGAATGTGTGGGTTTTCTGTAAACACTAGTGTTTAGCTTCCCATCTTCTTTCCTTTTTACGTTGCAATCTAACATTGGAAGTTCCCCTTCCTGACTTTCCAATTCATAAGTGAATTGAATTGCCTCTACCTTCGAGTTGATGTGCTCGAAAAATCTATCTATATCTTGTGTTCTAAGTACAGTGAATGTGTCATCTACATACCTCCACCATACTTTTGGGGTGGGGTGAACGTTTCAATCGCTATCTTTTCCCACCTATCCATGAATATATCTGCTACCACCGGGGATATTGGTGATCCCATGGCAACTCCCTCAGTTTGTTTGTATATTTTCCCTTGGAATTTAAATACTGTAGAAGTCAGGCAAAGCTGCAATCCCAGCATTATGTCCTCAATTGGCACTTTTGTCCTAAGTTCGAGTTCTTGGTCAGAAATGAGTTCGTTTCTGACCGCTTCACTGTGTGATACATTTAATAATCAAACTAATATGGAATTACTTAATACCACAGTGCCCAAGTTTTACACATATACTTCTGATGTATTTATCAGAGTTAATAGTACCCACCGCACTTGTTATATGATAACTTCTTAACTTTATGATATGAAACCTGGCGTGTCACGAAATTCATTTCGAACAGTCCAAAGAAAACTTTTATCGACAGCTGTCGCCTTCTCAGGCTTCATATTGAAGATCAGATAGCCACCTTTTCAGAAACAGTTGGCAGCAACAAACTCTGGGAATAAACCCGTCAAGAACGTAGTACCCAACAAACACGCCAAAGAAAGTGAAGATGGATTAGGCACACTTTGAAGAGAGAGCGTCAGGTAGCAACGCGTGCCATGCCACCGCTTGAGCGGAACCCGAATAGGAAACAGTGGGTCTGAGGGTGACATTGAAAAGATCGTTTGAGAAAGAGATGATAGACTAAGGGCAATCCTGAGGCCAACTGGAGACGACCTCAAAGAGCAGAAGAGAAATGAAATGTTCTATTGAAGCCCTATGTTCCACTTGGTACCAAAGGAAATAATAAATAAATAACAACTCTTTAACTATATATCTGATATGAACAAATGAGGATTTTCAAAACTAGTTAACATAATAACTAATTACTGTAGGTTGAAAAAATTTCATCAAAATGCATGCACACATATTAACTTACTTTTTAAATATTCTCTAAAAGTGGGTGCTTCCAATCGTTGTATATTAGTTGACTGGTCAATCCATTTATCACAGCCCCCCGGTGGCAGAAATAAACAATCCTCTTCAGTCAGTGGTAAACTCCTTTGATTATGATAACTTGGAGAAAAATGCAACTGTGTTTTCATTGAAATATAATCATTTGTGTAGCCGACAGGTGTCACTGAATTACCAACTTGATATTCACCTGAATTACTGGTTGCATCAGAACTACTGGTCATTTGTCTACGATGACGACGATAAATCCATGGGTAAGTATTTGGGATCATTTCTGATTGAGGATAATATTGTTGCTGATATTTATATTGACTATCTACTGACGGGGATCTAGAAGACAAGTACGTTGTATAACCAGGATATCTAACGTATCTTTTTGGATTTGGTATATTACTAAATGTGTTGTATGTTTCAGAAGGATAGGATGACGTTGGCGTCCTGGAATATTTATCCCCTTCCTGTAACCATCGTTTCTGTGATCTTGGACCTACACTTCCCGGTCTCATTGGACAACCAGATGGAATATTTTTAAAATTTGGAGGAGGATAATTACGTAGTTGTCCGCAAACAGACAGCAGAGATAGACAGGACGACTGACAGGGGATATCATGAATCTAAAAATAAGAAAGAATGGGAAAAAAGATGAAACGTGCTTCATCTCTACCGGTCAAAAAGTTAGCTAAATTGTAAGCAGTTTCCTGAAGATGTACTGCAGTATGTGAAGCTTACACTACACAAGGTTTGCTTCTATTTTGAGTGATATTTTGGAGAACACATTATGAATATCAAGTTTGTTCAAAAATTCACTTCAGTTAGACAACCACTGCATACGAGGGACTACTGTCTGGGTTTCTGAGAGTCTTCAACAGTCTGCCTCCATTTCCCCAACAAGACTCGAACCTAGAACCTTCATGTCACAAGGTTGACTCATTGACTTCTGTCAATTCTCAATGTAAAGCATTGCTGATTTGTTAGTTATTTCTAGATTTCGCATACTTTTGACTACGACTTCCCGAATGTTATCATTTATATGAAAGGCCTCAGTATAGTATCATTGTGGTGAGAGCAGGCTGCTAGCCGATTGGTTGACGTTAATCTACGTTAATGTCTAGGTCACTAATATGGGCCGTGAGAAAATATGAACAAGGCTGTTTCAACAACCAATCACAGCAAACTTAAACGTGGACAAATATGATTCGCAGAGAGATGGCTCTACTTTCCGAGAAATATCGAAAACAACCAATCATAAGACCGTGTTTGTCTGCTTAACTTCCGAGAAACAACCAATCAGAAGACTGCCTTTTTCTGCTTGCATAAGCCTTAATAATGTACATAAAATATATATAAATACGTGTTGATTTTCGTAATAAAACGATCTGTTGCCAGCCCTTGACTTCTGTTGTTACATCATGAGTTAACTTTGGTTCAAATATTGGCTGGTGGTCGCGCTATGTCGTGAATTGTCAAAAGTTGAGAATCATAAATTGGACAATGAGTCGATTTCCATTGGCTTGCAAATAGAAGGTCCTGAATTCAAATCCTGGTATTGTGTGCGTACTGATGAAGAGTCCCAAACTAGGACGACACACATGTCCAATACTACCCGTTGGTTTTCCAACAGTTCTCTAACTGATGTCAATTCACGATGAAATCCTGTAAACAACCGCCAAAATCCCTACAAATCAATGCTTGAATATCAATCCCTTGATTGTTATCATCACTACAGTCATCTTACGTAGCTTCCTGTGCAATGAAAAATTTCGAAAAGTTTCATAACTGTAGAAACCACCCAGTGGACTTCCTTAAGAAGTAGGTATGAAGTGACTCTTGTTTAATATTATTTATCTAGAACACTATTCCAGTGGCATTTTCTATTTGGCTGACAGGTTTTGACCAATCTGGCTAGGACTGAACAACTGAGGACAGTCACAGCAGTTTATATTAATACCAAGCACTGAATTATTCGAGATTCGAATAAATAAACATGAAGTTTACTATTACATCAAACAATCGAGTATTGAAGGTCTGAATTATGGAAGGAAATATACTTTCCATAAAGACTGTGTACACTTCCAGATGATGAGGGCCAAGAAATACGATATCCACCAGTTATAATAATCCCTTCTGACTCTGCGTCTTTAACTTCCAACAGTAAACACATTTCATGTCATCTACCGCATATGTACACATTTTGCACGTATTTATATTTTCCACCGCTCACGCCCTTTCACTTTCTCTTTACATGATCTTTCCTATGTCACAATCGAACGCCTAACCCATCGTTTTCCATAAATGGCTGGCATGTGATTTCAACGTAATACCTCCTTAGAGTAAGTCTAGTTCATCTCTGTTTCCTTAAGTATATATTTTCAGTTGAGCGATAAACTTTTGGTTTTTTCTCTGTCAAAGTTTCTTACTGCTCATTGTTTCTGTCCATCTGATCTTTAGTATTCACCGAAGGTAGCTGTTGACGAAAATCTGCGGCAACCTATAGAAAATGCCTTGGGTGACGCATGCGCCAACACTCTGAATCATATAGGAGAACTGACTTGACATTAGAGCTGAAAAGTTCTAATCTTGTTGTTTATGTTGAGTGTAACAGATCCCCATAATGATTTGAGGGTAATGAAGGTCGATCTTGGTTTTTCTGATTCTGGTTTCGACATTCTCGTTTTTGCAGCTTGTATTGCAGGGAATGTCCCTCAAATAAGTGAACGAGGTGACTTCCAATGCACTTCTTACATCAGTGGCGACCAGTGCTTCTTGCTGGTGGTGTATTCAGCTGAAGTCCTGTCTTCGCTGCCTGCCTTTTCTGATAACTTGCGGATTTCCGCCTGTAGATCTTTAAGTTTGTGTGATATTAAACATAAGTCATCCGTGGAGTCCAGGGCTCCTACAGTCTTCTTTTCATCCCAATATATGCCTGCCCTTTTCACACTTTAAGATCTGTGTTGTGATGCTGCCCAACGATAATAGTAGGCAGTCTTCTGTTAGCTTTTTCAACGATGCTTCCGCTATAATCACGTATAAAACAGTTAAACAAATATAAACAGAACCGGTTACAGAATTTCATCATGAGCTGACATCGGTTAGACAATCATTCGAAAACCAACAGGTTGTACTTGACAGCTGTTTCATTATAGTCTCAGACTCTTCATCAGTATGCACCCACCACCAGAGTTTGATTTCAGGACCTTCAAGCTGCAAGGCGAGCTCGTACAGCATTAAGTCGCTGGAACTCGACTCAGTGACCAGTTCTTGAATTCCAGCTTCTGACAATTCACGACATAGCATGGGAATGAGGAAAAATACTCGCCCGAAAACATTGGCTAGTGGTCACGCTATGTCATGAATTGGCAGAAGTTGGAATTCATAGACTGACCATTGGATCGGGTCCAAGTGGCTTAATGGTTTATGACCTCACCCTGTAACAACCAGAAAGTCTTGGGTTCAAACCTTGATGGTGGATGCGTACTGATGAACAATCCCAAACTAGGACGAAACAGCTGTCCAGTACTCACAGGCTGGTTTTCCAATGGCTCTCTTAACAATGTAAGCTCATGATGAGATCCTGCAACCAATCAATCGAATCCCCACAAAGCAATACTTGAATTTTAATGGGATTGTATTAGATTTCAATTAAATGATAAAAATGAAAAAAAAGGTGCAGAGTTCCAACAGAATGAGAAAGATTTATTCATATTCAATGTTCAACATGATGAGTAATATAAGCTCCTTGTCTATACAATGATATATACATTATTGTATAATGCATAAATTAATGGGCGCCATAATAATAACAGTTGGGTTCACTTGCCACTCACACACAGACGCGCGTACGCACACACACACACACACTCATAAGGGGCGCACTTTAAATGTTATTTATCAGTTACTTTACTGTGTTTTCCGCTTTATTTGTTTTCTTTCTTCCAATGACTTAATTACTTTAGATTTTTATTATATTATTCATCAATAATTTATTGTTATTTGTAATTGTATCTCTATGGATGTTTGCGTGCGTGTGTGTGTATGTGTAAATCTTATGTCTTCACCTCCCTCTGCTAGCCATACTGATAACTTGTTTACAACCATACCGAAGTGTAATAAAAACGAGTCGATATGCAATCACAATAATAATAATAATAACAATAAAATTTCACTTGTTTTACTGTCGGAGTAAACTTGAAATTGATTTCCAAGACAAATCGATTCTTGCACTATGAAGTACACGCATACATACATGCACGCATACCAGCTAAACCAAATAGTTATCTGTGTGGGTCATTCCTATATTATTATTAATACTATTCCCTTGGGTTCCGAGTAGAACATAGGGCTTCAACAACACATCTCCACTTTGTTCTATCTCCTGCCGCCCTCTTCAGCCGGGTTCACGATCGACCATAATCTCTGATCTCTTCCTCACACGATCTCCTCCATGTCACCCTTGCACCAACGAACCACTCGTCGCTTCTTATTCAGATCCCACTAGAGCACTGGCCTGGCGTCCAATGATATTTGACAGCCTCCTCAATGTATGCCCCATACATCATCACTTTCTCCTAAATATTTGTTGACCGACAGGCTCTTAATTGGTTCGTTCATAGCCAGAGTTTCTCGTTATTATTTCTTTCTGGCTGGCCATTTCATCTTAAGTATGGAGCCAGCCAGGCAGCCAGCCAGCGAAAGCAGAAGTTTATGAAAGTTTGCAGACCGTTGGAAATCCTTTGTCATGACGCGAGGCTAGTGCAAGTTTTTTACCCATAAAGAAGCACTCACCGATCAGAAATTTGTGTTGAAAATGCAAATCTTGTTCCTTATGCTGAGTGCAGTGCAGAAGATTTCCAAATTGGTTTCAAGTTGACCTTTCATGGTCATCCCATATCTTATCTATCTCTAAGAAAATGTTTCGTCTTACCTTCTACATTAAAAAGTTAAGACAATCAGGTATCAACCAACCTTTAGTTTTGCAATTTTTAAACTCCTGTATTTTACCTATTGTACTCTACTGCTCTCCATTAATCTTTCCTGGGCTGCTTAAAAAAGATTATATCATATTACGAAGAGTATTAAATGCTGTGAGTATAGCTTGTGGTCTGCCACTGCATGAGCTCGCTAATACTATAGTCGAGAGGCATATAAATTCCTGTACGAAATGGGCAAAGGCTATAATGTCAGACCCTCTGCACCCCCTTTATTCACACCTGTCCCCTTGTATCTCATCAGGTAGGACGAGAAGTCAATATAAAAAGATATATGCTCGTACTACTAAGTATAGAAATTCTACAATACCCTATTTAGCGCGTACTTTATGTGACGAAGACTCTGTTAGACGTGAAACTTACAAGTTACTATGTAATTAGTACAGTGAATCGACCCTTTTATCGTTCATCTTTCTGTATTTTATGGTGTCACACCTTCTATCGTTTAAATCGTTACTCTGCTATTTTATATTAGCTGGTATTACTATTATTACTACAATTTTGTACTTTATACATATTTTTCTCCGTATGGCACACAGTATTTTGCTACGTAGCTGCTACAACAATCGTTTTATTACTGTTATGTATTGTGTATTTTTAATTTTTTTTGTCGTTTTTGAGTAAATTAG